GAAGGAAGGAAGGAAGGAAGGGGCACAATTCTAATTATTTTGTTAAAGATGTGCTCACATTCTTTGGAAAGTTGATTTCTCATGCCCATTTTATGCCTATTAGTCAATCCTTTTCATGGTAAACACCAAGCTTGTTCCCCATACAGGTTCATACTCTCTATTAGGACCACTTCAGTTAAATAACAGTACAGTTGTTTTATTCTAAACAGAAAACTGTTTAGTCGTAATACAATACTCATTTTTTTACTCCCCTACACAGTGCATTAGCAAAGTAGACTTTTCCCAATAAATTAGTGCAAGGATTAAGTACATAGTTTCCCATTTTTAAAAACATATTTGAAAAACTATCTCTCTCCAAAATATAGACAACTCTCCAAATACAGAAAATAACATATCTAAAACTAAAATTGTTTTACAGAGACCATGTTATATTAAACACAGCACAATGCTTTACATATAAACCATACATTATATTAAAAGCAAGCACAAAATTTAGTCTTACACAACCTACTCACTGGAAAATATTTTTTCTATAACAAGACAGTTCTATACTTCATTACCAAATTTTTTTTTAAACTCACTTGTAAGGCCATGTTTAAGCACTTGAAGAGACCGCCTGTCAGTAATTTATATCAGGGCATGGATAAGCACATGTGTAGGTTGAGGGCATGTGAAGACAGTATGCAAACAGTAATCATATGCAATAATGATGTGTATTATGAAAATGCATACTATAAGAACAAAGAAGAGAATCCTAGATATTTCTCTGATTACCTCTTCAGCAGAATAGAATTCTTACAACATACGTGTTTGCCAGTCCCATTCTGTTTCCACACTAGCCCCACCAATAGACTTCATAGCTTCCAATCTAGCAAATCCAGGTACTCTTCCTGGTTAGATGTTGTTGGCCTTTTCAATGAATCAACTGTCTTCCACCTTTAGTTGGACATGTCAGAGCTAACAAGTAAATATACCTCATGCCAGCACACCAGCGTTTGGGGGAATCATGCAATGACTACCAATGTACTAATTAAATAGCCTAATGCTGGACATGAAATGTGAGTTGTTTGAAAAATGTTTTAGAATGGGAAGATGAGAGGAGGAATAAAAGTAGCCATACTAGCTACTCTTCTGAAATGGTCTCAATACCTAAGCAGAACAGGTTGGGTAAGGTCTGCACATGAGCCAAAGCTTATACTTTCATTGCCTTTGTTGGCTCATGTCACTTCTTTAATTAATGTCACTTTCTCTGGTTTAATATCAGAGCAAGTGACAAGAGTGCTTGTGGATGAACTGTGTTTTCCGAGGACTGTATGGCACACTCTCCTGCAGTCTGACAGAGGGACGTGCCAGTTTTACTTGGCAGTTACAATGCACCAGCTTTAGTTTTAGTAGTTTAATTTGTGGCAGTTATATGTTTTGAATACGTTGAAGTATTCACAACGGTCTCATGGAATCTGTTCCATAGATAAAGTTTACACAGTGGAAAAGCAAAAGCAATGGCTATAAGGCGATTAGGAAAAGCTGCTCTTGGCCACAGCTGGTCTTGTAGGCATTCCTATAAATTTAAGAGCATGTAGAAGCTATGACTAAAGTGATCACAAGGAATGGTGTGGTGCTTTTGTTTTTTGCAAGAGAGGGGAGCTCTGAAGTGTGTGTGAGAGACAATCATAAGGAATATAATGTTAGGACACAATTTTATGCAAAATCCATTATTCAAGAAGCAAACTTTATATATATGATAGACATGCAATGATATAAATTTAAGAATAGGAAGTTTTGCTCCTTATGCATTAAGTTGGTTCTAACATTTTGTTAACCTAAGATATCTGATAGAAAAATTCAGAAGAATTTCTACATGGTGGAGAAAAGATTCAACTTTCTCCTTTGGTTTGTTAAAGATCTTTCTGGTTCTGAAGGTTTTCTGTTTGGAGTTTTCCCTTCATCTCCTCCTTTACACACTTTTGTGAAGTTCCATCAGTTCATGGTGAGAAGATCTGCCACCACAGAGTTCTTCTAAACTTCCCCTGCCCTTTCTAAATTTAGGGTTCTTTACTGCAGCAGGTTGAAGATCTGGCTTTGATTGCACCTGGCTCTGCTGGAGAATAGAAATATTCATCTCCACTGAACACATGCTGTTTAAGTGCTGGAGGCACTTGCAGGAGAGTAACTCTCATTGGAAACTTCATTACAATACTTTCTCCTCCCTACATGAAGTAGTAATTCTCATTCACCAAAGATAGAATTTTGCCTGACACAGCCATGGGAGATCCTGTTTGACTTTCAAAATTAATCAACCTCTAAGCTGGAGTAGAAATGGCATGTCCTTTAACCTTAAGCACAAAAAGCTCTCAACAGACTGTAGTTTTTATATCCCTGGATGGGAGTTTGGGCCCCTGATACTTAAACTTGATTCACATACTGGGTTTCTGGCATGATTTTGCCCATACCCATCTGCTAGCCTGGCACAGCGCCCATTCAGAAGGTGTGATGCCAGTTTCAATAGGGCATAGGTGCCAATCAAAGATGGGTTTGGAGGGGCAGCATGCAGAACTCAGCAAAAGTCAGTTCTTCTGCCAGAAGATCCTCCTGTTATCATATAATGCCAATGAAGGGCCACATGCTTCATTGCTTGAGATCACATTGCATCTGTAGATGTTTCTGGCCTTCAATGGATGTCTTTCTACAGAACCATTTCCCCTGACTAGAGATGTTAAAAGAAAATTCAGTGCAACTGGCTATCTTTTTTAAACAAACAATGGTTGTCTGTAACAATTATCTAGAAATAATTGCTGAGTTTTCTGTCTGCTCTGCTAAAATACTCTCCCACACAAAATACTATATGTTGTTCAGAAACAAACAAATATAATCCATGTAATGAAGCTGTAAGCGGCAAACATTAAGAAGAAGCACTAATTGTAAGAAACTACGTAGGATAAAACTTATAAGCACCTTTGTATTGTTAAGTGTGGATTACAGGACAAATTTTCATTATCCAAAATGCTAATTTCTAGTGAACTCTTGTTTAGAACTTTAAAGTTTCTTTGTTTTCTTCTAATTTATCTCAGAAACATAGATATCACTGTGTCTTAAAAAAAAAAGAACATACCTCATACTATTTATTCCTCTTCTTTCTTATCTAAAGAAGCAAAACCTAAAACACTTCAGAAGCAGAAGTCTATCCATATTTCATAAGGAAGCCAGAAGCTCTCAAAAGCTGAAAATTCTTTTATTGTGTGGCAATAGAGGTGAGCTCATTTCATGAAGAAGAAATTTCCCCATAGCAATAAGTTTCAAATTAAAAAAAAAACCTTGACCATTGTAAACAGTTACAAGATAGTAGCAGGCACAGTAGAAGAGTTACAAATGCACAGAAAAATAGGTTATTTATAAGCCTTTCCTAAAGCAAAAGAGATTGCAGCAAAAATGAAGATGAAGAAAACATAAAATATTTTTTACTAATGTGAAATGTTACTTAAAAAGTAAAAAAATATATATAAGCAAAGGATAAGCCTTACTAGAACTTTCCTTTTTTATAAAAAGAACACAAACTTTCTTAGCTACTTAGACTTCTTGACTGATCGGTAAACAAACACTGCTACTTCCTTCAAAACTTAAAATTAATGGCCTATAGAGAGCACATACAAACTTAAAATAAATTAAAATATATCTTCTAAAGACTTATTTCTTATCTATAGGTCCAACAAATATACTAAATTCAGAAAATCTCTTTTGAGTATCTACCTTCATCTAGGAACCAGATAGAGAGAGACAGACAGAGACAGAGAGACAGAGACAGATACATTCTAGTTTCTAATATAAATTATCCTTATTTTCATAGTCACTCTCTTTCACTCCCACAAGACTGCTTATCTCTACAAAACAGTGCCAAAATGGCATTTAATACTGCAATGTCTAATAAAGGAATGCATGTTCCAGTAACTCTAATTACTGCTAGCATTAGCCTGGAATTTTCTAAATATTTTCTTATATACCTTAAAACCCAATCCGTAACTAAAAAATTAAAACCACACAGAAATTTTCTATGTCTTCAAAAATAGAAATGTTTCCTCATCAAAAAGTTAATTTTTGATAAGTTGTAAAGATTGCCCCAAAAAGATTCCTTCTATATCTCTAGAAAGCAAAATTAGTCTAATCTGACAGCATAACTGAAAAGTGTCTTCAGTCACAGAGGTAAAGTCTAAACAGCTATCCAGAAATAAGTGATCCAATCTAAAGGCTTCTGACAGCTAATTTTAGATATGATAAGGTTATTCTTTATAAAAAGGAATGATATTGGTTTACTGTCAATCAGGCATATGAACATTCTTTTAGATTACATAAGTTACCTTTTCTTAACTTTTTTCCTAAATAAGGCTGTTTATGTGTAAAATAACAGGCTGGATTAAGGGTAGCATCTAAAGTTATGCAAAGAACAAAACAAACTGGCTGGTGGGGGTTCAGTATCCTACTCTCAGCCTCTTTGCCTTAAGCCAGTAGCTAGTGAGCATCTACCTTGTGCTTGATATTCCAGAGGCCAACGAGTCAAAATCATGCTCAACTTTGAACACTTACAACCTCTACAGAGAATCTGTATCTATGTTTATTCACGTAACAAGTCTTCAGAGGAATCTGGAATCTACCCTGAAGTTTGTCCTACAGTTCTGCTCTTCTGGGTTTTTAAAAATTATTTCTGTTACCCAAGCTCATCCATGTATAGAATGAAAGTTTTATTTGTTATGCCATGATGGCAAATTTTAGGAGACAGGAATACTGGTCAGTGAGTCTAAGAACATCCTTTATGTTCTAGTTTTACCACATTCATGA